GAAGACCCTCAGACAGGAAGTTATCCCACAAGCAAACAGATGGATGGCAGCAGCGCTCTGTGGGCAAGCATATTTCCATGATCCTTGACTCTGCATAATCATAGGAAGCACCACTTTCCAGGGGGAGTTACGTCCATCATGATGTCTGTTAAAATTCTGACTTCTGCAGGAAAAGGAAGACCCTCAGACAGGAAGTTATCCCACAAGCAAACAGATGGATGGCAACAGCGCTCTGTGGGCAAGCATATTTCCATGATCCTTGACTCTGCATAAACATAGGAAGCACCACTTTCCAGGGGGAGTTACTGGACATCCATCATGATGTCTGTTAAATTTCTGCAGGAAATTTCACACCTCTAAAGGACAATACTCAACTTCATATGGAAAAACAAAACAAAACAAAAAAAACAGGGTAGCCAAAACAATCCTGTACAACAAAGGAACTTCTGGAGGCATCACCATCCCTGACTTAAACTCTACTTTAGAGCTACAGTAATGAAAACAGCTTGGTATAGAATCAAATAGAAGACCCTAATATTAATCCATACACCAATGAACACCTGATTTTTGACAAAGGAGCTAAAATTATAAAATGGACAAAAGAAAGCATCTTCAACAAATGGTCCTGGCATAACTGGATGTTGACATGTAGAAGAATGCAAATCGATCCATATCTATCAACACGCACAAAACTCAAGTCCAAATGGATCAAAGGCCTCAACATCAAACCAACCACACTGAACCTCATAGAAGAAAAAATGGGAAGTAGCCTTGAATACATTGGCACAGGAGACCCCTTCTTAAATATTAACACCAGTAGCACAGACATCAGTAGCATCAGGTCAACAATGAATAAATGGGACCTCCTGAAACTGAGAAGCTCTGTAAAGCAAAAGGACATAGTCAACAAGACAAAACGGCAGCCTACATAATGGGAAAAGATCTTTACCAACCCCACGTCTGACAGAGGGCTGATCTTTAAAATATACAAGAACTCAAGGAACTAGACATCAAAAGACCAAATAATTCAATAAAAAAGTGGGGTACAGATCTAAAGACAACTCTCAACAGAGGAATCTCAAATGAGCAAAAGGCACTTAAGGAAATGCTCAACATCCTTAGCCATCAGAGAAATGCAAATCAAAACAACTGTGAGATACCATCTTATACCTGTCAGAACGGCCAAGATCAAAAACACCGATGACAGCCTATTCTGGAGAGGATGTGGAGTAAGGGGAACACTCCTCCATTGCTGGTGGGAGTGTAAACTTGTACAGCCACTTTGGAAATCATTATGATGGTTTATCAGAGAATAGGGAATCAGTCTACCTCAAGATCCAGCAATTCCATTCTTAAGCATATACCCAAAGGATGCACACTCACACCAAAAGGACATTTGCTCAACTATGTTCAGAGCAGCATTATTTGTAATAGCCAGAACTTGAAATCAATTCAGATGCCCCTCAACCAAAGAATGGACAAGGAAAAAAATGGTACATTTACACAATGGAGTACTACTCAGTGGTAAAAAAAAAAAAAAATGACATCTTGAAATTTGCAGGCAAATGGACGGAAGCAGAAAAAGCTATTCTGAGTGAGATAACCCAGACCCAGAAAGACAAATATAATATGTAGTCAATCATAAGTGGATATAAGACATAAAGTAAAGGACAACCAGTCTATAAGTCACAACTCCAGAGAACCTAGGTAACAAAGAGGACCCTAAGAGAGACATACATGGATCTTCCTAGGAAGGGGGGAAAGACAAGCTCTCCTGAGTGAGGTGTGTGTGTGTGGGATAGGGGATAGGAGAAAGAGGAAAGGGGAGGAGGGAAGGGGAGTGGGGAAAAGTGCATAGCTCAATTTAAAAAAAAAAGGAAAAGAAAAAAAAGGAGAAGCAAGACTGAATATCACAAAAACCTGTGCAAATACGCTTAGGAATAACCAACTATGCAACCCTACCATTTTTATGCAAGCCCATAGATAATATGCAAAATTAATATGGTTCCAATAAAGCTTTATTTGTAAAATGAAGTGACAGGGGTGGGCAGTGCATATTCACCAGTTCCTATTCTACATGACTTGTTACTTAAGATCAGAAAGTATCTTCTGGACCAACAAAATAAAAAAAAAAGTATATGAATGATCCCTTTTCCCCTTTCTTCTGGGCTTTCAGCTATGCACAGGCTATGTGTATGTGTGACTTCTAAATTGGAAAGGCATCGATATTCAAGTATCAGCAAAGCTTGGCAACAATGTAAAGTGGCACGGACTCAGCATGTGATTAGACGGGATGACATGTGTTGGGAAAGCTGCCTTGTGAGAGGCATAAATCTGTTCTAGAAAATAGATAGGTGGATTGGCTTTGGAAGAAAGTAAGCAACCGTTGGAGGGAACATGACATGAGCAAGGGTGGTGGGGCTCTGGGGGACAAGAATGAGTGGATTTATGAATTTTATGAATCTGTCGATATGGGGCAGTGGTTCGGAGTCTAGCTTTGGCTCTGAACTCTCCTCCTTTCCTAGGCAAGCTCCTCAAACTTGCTCTGCCTGTTTTGACAGTGGTAAAATGGGGAGGACTGTTATAAGGGTGGCACAAACCAAAACAAGTCAAGTTCCAATAACATCTGGTATGTAGTTACAGAGCCTGGTCATGGTAGCAAAGCAGACCAATGGGATAACCATTCCAGGGCTGCTGGGTGGAGCTGATACCCATCACAGCTAAAAATTCACAAGTGGAAGGAAGTAACTGACATTATGTATGTCCTTTGACAATACAAAACTCCTCGTTAAGAGTTTCTAGTCATAGCTGACACCTAATTCTTTTCTAAAATAGAAAATTAACCTAACGAATGTGATACCACTTACATCTCTCCTAAGCAGTACAGAATGCAATATATACCAGACTTCTGCCTGTCTTTATTCCCAGCGCTAGGGAGGGAGTTTGAGGCCAGCCTGGTCTACACAGTGAGTTCCAGGCCAGCCAAGGCTACACAGCAAGATTTTATCTCAAACAAACAAACACCACCCCCCAAGACTTCTAAACATCAGTGTAAAGTAAAATAAGTATGTATTATGGACACAGGAGCAGAAAAGAACATTCTCACATACAGGCTGGAGGAGACTGGCAAGATGCTGGCTGCCAGGGGTGTAGAAAGTGAGGCACATGGGAGTGATGGTGAATTAGTCCATGCCAAATGCCAGGCAAACAAAATGTCAATTTCCTTCTTCCCAGATTGACTTGTTTAACTTACAGGAAATTAACTATAGTAACTCAAGAAGGAGAGGGAGGGAAGAAATAACAGGGGAGAGAAAGGAAGGTGGAGAGAGAGAGAGAGGATAAAAAGGTAAATCTGGGATGATAAAACCAATTCTTTAAGATTCTTTCTAAAACTCGTGCATTAATAAGCCTTCCTACTCTACTTAAAATCCAGGAGGCTATAGCTGCCTCTGAGTAAACAGGCTATAGAGAGCTTCATAACTGCTATTTCAACTCTCACCCTTTTAATCTTTATGGTTGAAACTAATGCTAAGGTTCACAACACAAGGAAGTTGTCAGACTTCCTCTTTCGGTCTCCTGAGTCCTGAATTCCCCCAAGGGGCAGTGCATGGAAAGTGGTGATGACATGTTTTCATCTGTTGAGAAGAGATAGCACTCATCTTTCCTGTAATGTTTCTTTCCAGGTCATTCCAGCAACGACAATGGCCTTGGCGTCGAGAAAAAGAGCATGCTGCAATAACAGGACAGGGGTGAGTAAGGAGCAGTGGGCTTAGAAGCAGAAGTACATTAACAGCCAATGACAGGCGAGCCATCAGCACCTGCTGGGCCTGAGTCTTGGACAAATGCTGCTGGGGCTTGTCAAATAGTCACATAAAGAGTGAGAAGACAGTTTTTCTTTTATTTATTTCTTTTTTTAAGATTTTATTTATTATGTATACAACATTCTGCTTCCATGTATATCTGCACACCAGAAGAGGGCACCAGATCTCATTCAAGGTGGTTGTGAGCCACCATGTGGTTGCTGGGAATTGAACTCAGGACCTCTGGAAGAGCAGTCAGTGCTCTTAACCTCTGAGCCATCTCTCCAGCCCCTGAAGACAGTTTTTCTTTCCTCGTAGAAATTTAGCTTTGAGCCAGACAGTGGTGGCATATGCTTTTAACCTCATCACTCAGGAGGCAAAGGCAGGGAGAATCTCTGTGAATTTGGAGCCAGCCTTGTCTACAGAGCTAGTTCCAGTATAGCCAGAGCTGTTACACAGAGAAACCTCCCCAAACAAGCAAACCAACAAACCAACAACAACAACAACAACAAAGAATCTAGCTTTGGAACTTGTCTTTGGTCCTCAACCTTCAGTTCACCTACAGAATCAGAAGTTTTTCAAATAAGGGTTTATGTCATATCTAGAACTATTAATTTCGTAATACTAAGATACTTGTTTTGAGTAGCTTAGAAAATACTTGGGCAAATGCACCCTCCATTTTTCAGTGCAGATGGAAGGGTTAGTTTGCTAGGTTAATTGCTCTTAGTTTAGATTAATTGTCCTTAAAGGAGACATCAATTATTTTTCAAACATTTAATATCTACCATATTTAATTCCTCAAAACCTTAATGTGGGCAATGGTTAGACCTTAGTTTATTTTAATTAATAATCAATTAATTCGATGAGGGGTTGTTTTTTTTTTTCTTCTTAAGACAGGCTCTCTTTATACAGCCCTGGCTGTCCTGGAGCTCACTATGTAGACTGGGCTGGCTTTGAACTTGCAGAGATCCACCTGCCTCTGTGTCCTGTGTGCTGGGATTAAAGGTGTGTGTCATCATGCCAGGGAGATCTTGTTGTTGACCAAGACACTAATGATTAGGGGGAAAGGGGCAATAATTCACCAGGGTAGCACAGCACATATTTTCTAATTGAAACTCACCAGACTTCCAGTTTCAGTACTTCCTCTGTGCACACCATGAACAGAACACTGGGAGTTTAATTCTCTAAGGTAGGGGTAGACCAATGACAAGCACCCATAATCAATACTCCGGGCTGGGCTCAGCATCAAGGTTTTAACTCAATGGTTCCCATTCAGATGAGAACACACACAGATCTAGGGAGATTTCACAATTGCAAGTGCCTGAGTGGACCCCAAGATTCTGTCACTCTTCAGAAGCACCAGGTGATCGAAACACAGCGTGGGGGAAGAATCACTCTCCTAAAGGGGATAATGGCCTAGAGAACATAGGTTGTGCTTTAAAATCTTTTAAATTATTTTATTTATGTGGGTGTTTTGTCTGAATTTATGTTCATGCCTGAGGAGGCTAGAAGAGGCGTTGGATCCCCTAGAACTGCAGTTACAGAGGGTTGAGCTAATATGTGGGTGCTGGGAATTGAACCTGGGTCCACTCGAAGAACATCCATTACTCTTAACTACTGAGCCATCTCTCCAGGCCCAGAAGATAGATTTGTTTTTAAAGAGCCTGCATCTGGCATTTTCTGTTTATTTAGGAACAATCATCACTTTAACTATGGTATTTTCAGTCTGTCTTCATTTCTGCTACTCTGTAAGCATTCCATAAATGTTAGTTTTTAGTTTCTACTGCCTTTCACTTTTGTTCCTAAACTACTATATTCTAGTGCAGTTTGACTTGGCCTCACTTCTATGTGATACTCATAAATTTTCAAGACATCCTGATTTACTTCTGATTGTTTGAACTGGAAAAGTATCTAGCACTTAATTTTTTCTCAAACCAAGTTTCTATTAAGACTTTTTGTGCATACCCTTTCATTAAAAATGATCATCATCTTTAAACCGGGCAGTGGTGGCACATACCTTTAATCCCAGTACTTGGGAGGCAGAGGCAGGTGGATCTCTGTGAGTTTGAGGCCAGTCTGGTCTACAAAGTGAGTTCCAGGACAGGTTCCAAAGCTACACAGAGAGACCCTGTTTAGCAAAAAAAACAAAACTCCAGGACAGGTTCCAAAGCTACACAGAGAGACCCTGTTTAGCAAAAAAACAAAAACAAAAAAAAAAAAACAAAACAAAACAAAATGAAGATCATCTTGCAAATGATCACTTAGGTTTTGTCTGCCAGATTCCATACTTCATCTGTTTGTGTGACTCAGATTCATAAAAGGCACAGACTTTTCCCTCTATGGTATTTTCAACTGTGGGTGGATTTAGAGCCTCCATCCCTACCACAAAGGGACATGTGGCATTGTTGAGAAGGATTTTAGTTGTCATACTGGACAGGGTGGATGAAGTGACAGTAGCATATGATGGGTGGAGGCCAGGGATGCAGATGAAGGGTCTCTATAGCGTCCTGATGCCCGCTTCAGTGTACAGAGCAGAGCGGTTGTGCTCTCAACCCTGCTGCTCATTGAGAACTTCAGGGTGTTGGTCACTGGGCACTTTCAGCAACAGCCAAATACGAATGGAGGAACTGGGAGCCAAGAGCCCAGAAATCAAAGCCCAGTGGAGGCTCAACACAGAACTTCATACAATAGGAAGGTGAGCCAGGTTTCAGTGGCCAGAAGGAAAATAAAAGCCCAGGAATATAAAAGTTGAGATTTTTCAGGGACATTGGCAAGTGTGACCATTTTTTTGGGAACTAATTCAACATAAGATGATTTAGATCTCTGCCCCTTTCATAAATTCATACCTAATCAAACTGCAGTCTTAAGACTCGGGAGCGCATGGGGGCTAGGGAGATGGCTAAATCAGGAAAATGTCTGACATGCAAGCATAAGGATCTGAGTTTGGATCCCTAGGGCTCTCATAAAGGTTGGATACAGTGGCATATGCATATAACCCCAGTGTTAGAGGGACAGAAAAGTAGGTACCAGAGCTCCCTGGCTGGCCAGCCTTGCAAAATGGCTGACCTGCAGGTTCAGTGAGAGACCCTGCCTCAAAAATAAGGTGGAGAATGAAATGATAAGGGAAGACACCCAGAATCAACCTCTGGTTTACATCCCTGCCCCTCCCCCACGTGAACACACTTATGTGTGAAGAACACACACAAACATGTACAAATACCATATACGTCTACAAATACGGAAAAAAAAAATCTATGACCACAGATTGACTGGAGAACTGCAGTTAGTAACTGACTAAATAAGACTCAAGTGCTACACAATATTACTATATAACTTGAAACAGTCACAGGACATATGACATGTGCAACTGTCCCTGCTTTGTTTTCCAGATGTTTCTTTCCTCGATCTTAAGCGTAATCACAATCATTGGTGCTGTGTATTGCATGCTGGTGTCACTCCAGGCTCTCTCGGAAGGTCCTCTCATTTGTAGCACTCAAGCCAAAAGTACTGTCTCTTGTGAATTTTCATTGAAAAACTTAAGGTGAGTAACATTCTGTCACATTGTCTCACATAGCTGCAGCGAATTATCATGCACAAGGCTAGGCTTTTCTCTGTTCTGGCTTCTGGGACAAACACTCTTAGGGACTTGGCAACATAATACAATAGGCAATGTCTCACAAAGAAGTGGAGGGGCTGCCACAGCCCAAATGATCTGCGTATGGTCTCATCTAAATGCTCTAGTTAATCTCTTGCAAAAACTCATGGTTATGTGTGTATGTCTCTTAAAAGTTCTGGGAATATACACTTAATTTAAATCTTTGGGAATACTAATGGGTGAGGGGAACATTTACTTTCTACATGTCTGAACTTTTTTGAAAATTTAAATTTTATGCATGAGTTTTGCCGATATGTAAGTGTATCACATGTGGGCAGTACCCATGGAGGCCAGAAGAGGGCACTGTACCTGGAACTGGAGTTAGGAATTGTTTTGAGCCAGTATGTGGAGATCTAAATCCAGGTCCTGTTCAAAAGTGACAAGAACCCTTTTTTCCTTTCTTCCTTCCTTCCTTCCTTCCTTCCTTCCTTCCTTCCTTCCTTCTTTCCTTCCTTTTTCCTTTCCTTTCCTTTTCCTTTTTTCCTTTTTTTCCTTTTTCCTTTTTCCTTTTTCCTTTTTCCTTTTTCCTTTCTTTCCTTCCTTTTTCCTTTCCTTTCCTTTTCCTTTTTTCCTTTTTTTTCTTTTTTTCCTTTTTCCTTTCCTTTTTCCTTTTTCCTTTTTCCTTTTCCTTTCCTTTCCTTTCCTTTCCTTTCCTTTCCTTTCCTTTCCTTCCTTCCCTCCCTCCCTCTTTCTTCCTTCCTTCCTTCCTTCCTT